CGTATGCGCGCGGGATGCCATATAGACATGCCAGAAGTGCTGAAACGGAAGAAAGCCGTGATCAATGTACGATCAAAGGACAATGCATGTTTCGCGTGGTCGGTGGTCGCTGCTCTGCATCCAGCTGAAAGGCATGTGGAACGGAAATCGTCGTATCCGCATTACAGCGACGTGCTAAACCTGCGAGACATTAGCTTTCCAATGACACTCAACCAAGTGAAAAAATTTGAACAACTGAACAATATTTCCATCAACGTATACAGCGTCGAGAAGAAGAAGGAATGCACAGTCGTACCGCTACGAGTTACCGATGAGAAGAAGGAGAAGCACGTGAACCTTTTATACCTACAAGATCAGGAAGATGCTGAAGTGGGCCACTTCGTCTGGGTAAAAAACTTATCCCGCCTCGTCAGTTCTCAACTCAGCAAGAAGGAGCACAAAAAGCACATTTGCGATCGGTGAGTATCAATAAAATTTATGAAAAATTGTTTTATTTGAAAAATATAAAAATGTTTTTTCTTTCTAGATGTTTGCACTACTTTAGCTCCAACATCAAGTTGCAAGCTCACATTGTGGATTGTGGAGAGATGAACGACTGCGCGATCAGATTACCGAGTGAGGACGACAAGTGGCTAACCTTCAAAAATTACAACAGGAAGGAACGCGTACCGTTTGTCGTATACGCCGACTTGGATTGCACTCTGGAGAAGATGGACAAGGATTCGGTAACGTCTAGATATGCATATCAACATCATGAAGTATTTAGCGTCGGATATTACGTGCGTTGCTCGTACGACGATTCATTGTCCACATACCAATCTCGTCGCGATAAAGATTGCATCACGTGGTTCGTCGAGCAACTCAAAGTGTTATCACAACATGTAAAAGAAAAGTTGTCCAATAATGTCCCAATGGAAAATTTGTCGAAGGAACAGTGGATGGCATACCGTAGCGCGACGCATTGCCACATATGTCAAAAACCGTTCGCACTGGGTGATGATAAAGTACGCGATCACTGCCATTTGACCGGAAGATATAGAGGTCCCGCGCATTCGAACTGTAATTTAAATTATAAAAATTTATATTGTATTCCTGTAGTCTTCCACAATTTATCCGGTTACGATTCGCATTTCATTATCAAAGAAATAGCTACGGCGTACGAAGGACATGTAGAATTGCTTCCAATTACGAAGGAAAAATACATTTCCTTCACCAAACATATCACAGGCATCGCTGAAAAATCAGTTTGGCGAAATCGTATGAAATTGCGATTCATCGATTCATACAAATTTTTAACTGCCAGTCTCGACAAACTAGTGTCTCTTCTCAGCAAGGATAATTTGAAAATTACACGTTCAATTTTTTAAGTTATCGATGGAAGATTTCAATCTATTGACGCGAAAGGGTGTCTTTCCGTACGAGTACGTTGATTGCGTCGAAAAGTTGGAGGACGCGTGTTTACCACCGCGCGAATCATTTTACAGTTCCTTGACAGGTGACACAGTATCCGAGAACGATTACGCGCACGCTGCGAACGTCTGGCGGCGGTTTGCCATTCAATCTTTGGGCGAGTACAGCGACCTGTATTTGAAAACGGATGTCTTGTTATTGGCTGACATTTTTGAAAATTTCCGAGACAAATGTATCGAGAGTTATGGTCTCGATCCCACGTATTATTATACTTTGCCTGGTTTCACGTGGGACGCCATGCTGAAACACGCGCGCGTAAATTTCGAGCTGCTCACAGACATCGACATGGTCATGTTTGTAGAACGTGGCATACGCGGTGGTCTCAGCCAATGTTCCGGTAGATATGCTCGAGCCAATAACAAGTACATGCGGTCTTACGATCCATCGAAACCATCCTCGTACCTGATGTACTTTGATGTTAATAATTTGTACGGGTGGGCAATGTGTCAGCCGCTGCTTTACGCAAATTTTCGATGGATCGAAGATATTACGAATTTCGACGTGAGCGCAATCGCTGCGGACTCATCGACAGGTTACATTCTCGAGGTCGATCTCGAGTATCCGCAGCATCTTCACGACGCGCACGCCGATCTACCGTTTTGTCCAACGCGCGATAAACCACCCGGCAAGCGGCAGGATAAACTTCTCGCGACAGTGTATGATAAGAAGCGTTACGTCATACACTACCGTAACCTGCAGCAGTGCACGCGTCACGGCCTGCGCGTCATAAAGATACATCGTATATTGGAGTTTTCGCAATCTCCATGGCTTCGCAAATATATCGAGCTTAATACTCAGTTTAGAACACGCGCGACAAACGATTTCGAAAAAAATTTGTATAAATTAATGAACAACGCGGTATTCGGTAAAACTATGGAAAACGTGCGGAATCACGTCGACGTTAAACTTGTAACTAAATGGGATGGTCGCTACGGTGCCGAGACGATGATCTCCAAACCGAATTTTCATAGTCGCAGTATTTTTTCCGAAAACTTAATTGCCGTGGAGTTGCGAAAACTCGAGGTAAAATTCACCAAACCGATCTACGTGGGTATGTGCATCCTCGACATATCCAAGATCTGCTTGTATGAATTTCACCATGAATATATGTTACCCCTGTACAGAGACAAGTGTAAAATTATGTACACCGATACGGACAGTCTCATATACCACATCAAGTGCGAGGATGTATATGAGACGATGAAACGCGATATACATTGTGACGTGGCGGATTAGCTGCCGCGTGCCAGCTCCCCGCTGCCGTCCCAAGGCGCGGTGTCGGTCCGCCCGGGAAAAGAGGATCCGCGCGAAGGCCGTAGGAAAGCCTCCCGGGGTCGCAAACACGATTTTATCTCTTGCCCGCTTACCCGAGACTTTTTTTCTATTTTGTATCGCGCCCTTTGAGCGTCACCGAGCCGACCGGACCATCACGGAAGACCAGCTGACAGCGGAGACGGGAGCTGAGCACGGAAGGAGAAAAGGCGGGAGCGGAGGGGCGAGAGCGCGCAGAGGCCAGCGAGCGGCGGCCGCGGAGGAGCCGAGGGGCTGGACGGGGAGCGGGGCGAGTCGAGGGGCGCGGGCGAGGGACGCCGACGGGCGATGACCGCCGAGGGGCCGAGCCGCCCCGGAGCCTGGGGCCCGAGCACGCGGAGTCGCCCCTGGAGGGCGAGAGACCAGGCGCCTGCCGGGCAGGGAGCCGAGGGGCAAGCGCGGACGGAGGTCCCCGGAAAGTCAGCCGGATCGGCGGCGTCGAAGGACCAGAGCACCGGAGAGCGGGCCCAGGATCGACCGCCCCGGCCCTGCGAGCCGCGCGGGGCGAATTTTGCGCCCGGAAGCTAGCCGATAACGATAGCGCCCCTGCAGGCCCGGCGACGCGCCGGGCGAGCGACCCCCTGATTGGCGGATCCGCGGCGCCGCTATCTCGCGCAGCCCTTTTTCGCGATCGCAGCAAGCGATCGGGTGATCGACCCGCTCGCGCCGGATCTTCGGCTTTCGTTCGCGGATCCTCGCTACCGTAACGTCGCGTCGGAGAACGTGCGTCGAGCCGGCGACCTGAGTGCCGAGCACGAGACGAGGCCGTGGCCAGAGCCAAGGAGGAGAGTGCCGACCGGGACCGCGCCGTGGAATCCGGAGGACGTACCGGTGAGGTGGCCCTCGAGGGAATATCTCTTTATGTAAAGGCCGCGTGCATCCGAGGGGGTTAGCTCGCGTTCTGGCACCGCGCCGCGTTCGATTAGTGTTCCGGGCCGTAGGGCATCCGCTCCGAGGGGGAGCAGGAGCCGGCCATTT